CCCGACGCACTTTTGACAGTTAGTTGACAGCAGCTTATTGTGTTTGGTATTATTAGCAATGCCGTTTCGCGATAACTCGAGTGGCGGTAGGTACATCAAAGAGTTTATCGCACGAAATAACGCGTTGAAGCGGCCAAAAACAAACTTAACGTAGTGTACGTTAAGTTAATTACGTTAGTACGTTAAATTAAGTGCACAACGGCGTCAATACCTATGGCTATGATGGAGTGGAATAATAAAAAAGTTATTACGTTTTTTTCTCCAAACAGAGCCATGTTTGTATCAGAGACTCAAAAAGTTTTGTTTGATGATTTGCGACGAATTATCCAATTATTAGTTTTTAAAACAACTATTGAAGACTTAGAAAGACGAAGGAAAACCTAATGGGTTTATAGAACCATTTTAAACAAATATAAAAAGTCTTCAAGGAACATTAACGCTAACTTTAACGCCGTTCAACGGCATTGAAATTTAATGAATTTGAGCGTTCGTTCGTTTATCACTTTATCGCGTTAAATTTGAAGCAATAACGGCTGCGTTTATGCGCATTGACGTTTCCCGTTAGTGTAGCCTCAGCATTAGCGCGTTCACTCGATGACGCAGCCATACGACGATGGTCGCGCGGTGGGCTAAGCGTAAGCGATATGGATATTGACAGTCGATTTTTTTTTTCAATAAAAAGTTTTAATTTTTTATTTATCATAACTGATCTTAAATTAAATGGCGAAATTTCTTTATATGCAGATGTCCATCGACCGACACGAGGTGAGCAGTCAGAGACGGGGGTCCGCACTCCCCCCTTGGACTGCGGTTAGATAGCTCAAGAAACGCCTAAAAAAGCGACATGATGATTGGTAACAATACCAAATCATAAACCACTCATCATCATCCTCACCTTATTGCCTTTCCCTTTTTTAATTAGCTGTAAGAGTCGTATAGACTAACAGCGCTAACATCCAGAAAATAGAAATATGCAGATGATACCTGTATTTTCTACTTTGTTGGTTCCATACATGAAGTTATCACACGAGCCAAAGTTTCACAAAATGTGTATTTATGAAGCCCTGCATCTCTTGATCCCATGATAGATTTTTTCTGTATGTATTAAGACATTATAAACTATATTTGATAATTTTTAAAATTACCACTTTTTTAAAAAATGAATTTTAAAATAGAATTTTATAATTTTCATTTTTTTTAAATTGTAACTCTCTCTTGTGGCATATCATATTAAAGCCCCATTCAACAGCTTTAAAATGAGACCACTTCCAGGTTTGTATTATCATCGGTTGTCAAGTCTATAGGCATTCAAAGGTGCCAAAACATGAAATTTTTTTCATAAAAATTTAAATCTTTAATAATTAATAACTTCAAAAATAATTCGGCTACATAACTGAAATTTGGTATTTTATCATGTCTATGGTATATTGCTGCATAAAAAATCATAAAAATCTGAGACATCAAGTCTGAATCAGTGTGTTGGTTTGACATGGAATGACCCTACATTTAAATATTTTAGCATTGACATTTCATATTTTCTCACCAAACATCGACTAAATAGTTAACATAATGGCGGCTCCACATTATTGCCGTCCTCACATTATTCACGCCAAGAATTCATGGCATATGTCGTGCCCTCCACATTCACGGGATGCTCACAATCGTTCGTGAAACCCGTCGCGAAACGGACGTAGAAGCTGCTGCTACAATAACTTTATTTACTGTGGCAACATATCACTATTTAGACATCCAAAACAAGAAATTTATTAGAAAGCGTTCGAAAGTTGGTGTATGACTGAAATACATCGTCCGTACGCCTTGTAGTCCGAAACGAACTGGCACGGGGCCGTGAATGTGGATGTGTATGGGTGAACGCCGCGCGAAACCTTTGTCACGGAACAAAATACCGACTCTGATCGGGGAAAAGGCGTGAACCCCGCGAAAACCATCACATTCACGTTCACGCCTGTTTACGGAACTTCACGGCGATAATGTGGAGCCGCCATCAGTTTTAAACTTTACGCGTAATGTGTAGGCGAGATACAGATTTCATACGGTTTCGTTTTTCGACGTCGTCAATTGGACATTATTTATTATTTTATTCTTTTAGTAGTAATTATTAGTACATTACCTAACTCACATGCTGCGTTATAGATAAGTACATTTAGTAAAATGCAAATCTTGTAGGTCAGTTCTTTCACTAGTCAATTTCTTCAAGCGACTGTAGGTACTGTTGTTTTCAATAAATAAATTGACGTACATGCGATGCAGATTTAATTTGGGCGTTTGAGGCTATAATTCGATTATTACCTAATGAATGTGTTTTTTATTGTACGATGACGTTTTTGAGGGTTTTTTGAAGTACCTACATGCATGTATACGATGCGATTTGCTACTTTTTACAAAAAAAGCAAAAAATTCAGTCTGCAACAATAACTAATCATTAAACAAGCTCCGATTTGCCGAAAATTAAAAACGCATATAGACAAATATGCAATTTTCTCGATGTTTGGACGATAAATTATTTGTTCATTAGCTCAGTCCCAAAAATAATAATAAAACGCATTGCGCATTGTGTCAAAAATACTAGTTTATATCTATATACTCATGGCGGCCAAAATGCTACAAAAAACCTGCATTTTTATTTTATTAGATTTGTAAACCAAATTCTCGATTATTTTTACCTTCTGTCTCACTGTATTGAATTTATGATCCACTGGACCTGGCAACAATAATACAAATTTTAAGAAAACGGATGGGACGCAGTAACCACACCACAATGCGTACAAATTGTACACCTAGGCGGTTCTCACCGCCCAGAACATCGAACGATTCAACGTTCGGACGGCCGCTAGACGACTCACCCTGGTGCACTGTACACTATCGTAGGAGACATTGTTACGCAAGTAACGATGCAGAATGATTTAAATTCACCCTTTTACAGAAGAAGGCCCTAAGACCGATGAAACTGTAAAAACCAAAAGTATCTCGTACCTTGGTACGAGATACGAGTGCTAGGTCTGGTAGAGCTGCAGGATGCAGGTGTTGTTAACGTCGTACTGAAAATCACAGGTGCTCGCGGGACCCAATTGAAAATTAAAATCCGAAAAAAATTAACAGGTTCCGCTTGCTACTAAACTTAATGCGGGTATTTAACTTAGGTTTTCAGCTCATAATACCGTCTGTTAAACCGAAATAGAGTTTACTTTGTTTATATTTTATTTTAATTTTGTTTCTTTGTCTTTATTTATTTTATTCTTTTACTTTTCGAAATATCCGTAGTTTAGTTTATCCATTTGCATCTCCCCTTGTGTTGCGGTTGATCATGGGCGGCGATAGTCACTTACCATCAGGTGAGCCGCATGCTCGTTTGCCCCTTCTTCTATATAAAAAAATCATTTCTGATCTAATTAATACAAAATGTATCTGATACTTTCAACACTTTTCTAACAAATTACCTATCCCCGCTATGAAATCTGTCAAATATTTCACCTTACTCCTGTGGCATCACCCTAGTGGCAGAAAAATTGGTTGAATGAATGGATGGACAGGATACCCTAATTGGTGTGTTAGTAGCTTGCCACTATAATTGGTACATTGGTATTTGTATGGTTTGTAAGGCCACACACTTTTAAGAAGTAGAGTTGTAGTTAGTTGATGAGCACGTCAAAAGGAAAAGATCACCAGAGTTAAAAGTTTAATTAAAAGTAAAATAATTATAAAGTTAGAGTGGCAGATCTTTCCTTGAGTAGTTGGTGTTCAGAAGGACGGTTATTGACGTACTGCCGCTTGTCAGCTTGCAATTAAAGAAGTAAATTTAAATACACGCGACGCCCGGATGCACCGCCGGTGTTTCGAGTGTATTGTGATGGATATCGAGGTGAACAGACCGTGATTCGATGCATCTTGTGATTCTGTTAAGGACATATACTGGGAAATATGCTGTGATCTCATAGCCATATTGAGATGACATGTGACTGGCGATAGTCGTATTGGTGCTTGTTGCGTGGCATTGTGCTTAAAAAGTATATATACGTCCTTCTGATGGGCACTGGCCTCCTCTCATTAGCTTAGCTTCGCTTAGCGACAAACTCTCAAACATGTCCAGTAACCCGCTCATTTCTGTTTTTATTCACAATTGCGCTCTCTTTGCAAGGTAAACAGTTCGTAAAAGTTAAAGTAGAGTAAAAGTCACAGCTCATTAGAGCCACTCGGCACACGACCCTCACCGCCTCGCCTCGAGCGGTTCGTATTCTTCGTATGGATTTGTATGGGCCTGCGCTCACTACATCAACTCCGTACCCTCACGAACTGAACGCCTGGCGAAGAGGCGGTGAGGGTCGAGTGCCGGGTGGCTCTAATGAGCTGTGACCTTAATGCTAAAGTAGTTGGAGTCGCATTTGAGTAATTTAAGCCAAGTCGGGTTTGTTGATATTTTTTGTGCTATGTAGGTCTAATAAGACCAGCGTCACTGCGACCGGTGTGATCTATTGTGATCGCGGGTTTCTTGGTGACGAGGCTTCTTCTTCGTATTGTCTGACCTCCCTGATGCTTTATATAACAATCAATATGATAAAATAATAAATATCTTTGTAACTGCCCACCTCTCTCATCTCTCACTCTCTCCTCACCTCTAAATGAATACAAAGGCAACTTATAAATGTAATATTATTACGCGTTTATTCATATACATATATTTCATTAACTTCAATTACTATTAATGTAAATTACACATACATAGTATTTTATAATTACAGTAAAATAAAGTAAAGCCTATATACGTCCCACTCTGGGCACAGGCTCATTTCTGAAAAGGGTTAAAGTAATAATCGAATAATTACAGAACATTTATATATACAGATTATATCTATATTATTATCACATTTAGCAAAACTAAAATAAGTTCTATTGAAACGATGTATTTTAAACAATATGACACTTAAATAACAGATTGGAAATTTTTTTGCGATTATCCAATGACTGGTAAGTTGCTATCGTTATCACACTGTGGTAGTTTTCTTCAGCCTCTGTCGAATTTCTCCTATAAATAAATAAAAAAATATGTAAATGCGATTCATAAAACAAGCTATCAAAAAAGTTCTACTGCGTTACTTGCTGGTTCTTTCCAGGGTAGAGGTTATTCCGAAAGTAAAGATACAGCCTAAATACGTCCCACTGCTGGGCACAGGCCTCCCCTCATTTCTGAGAGGGTTTTAGGGCAAGGAAATGTTCACCGCGCTGTCCCAATACGTATTGGCGAACTTCACATGTCTTCGAAATATTTTTATTCTTATTCCTCAGACATACAGGTTTACTCAAGATGTTTTCCTTCACCGCACTATCGATATCGAAAGTGTTAGCGACTACCTGTTATAAAATTTTAAATTTTTGCGATTATTTTTGTACTTTAAAAAATATTGTTCTATAATATTTTCAAATAGTGTGCAAATATTTATTACTTTATAAATTATTTTGGGACTATTTAAAATAGCGTAATTCGTAGTATATTGTATAAAGTTGTAAATATTTTGTTATTTTCTACAAGATGATTTTTTTGCAAATTATTGCATGTAAAATATCCTTATAATCGAAGGCTATCGCATAGTATAGTTTAAACAGTTATTACAAATACAAAAATACAAATACAAAATATTTTATTTCTTTAACTAAGTGTACATAAAATGCAGAATATTATTTAGAAGCAGTTAAAACCTAACGATGATATATAAATATATCGTTCCGTTTTCGTGGAGACTTTGATGTGTAGTTATAATGTCGACCTTTAACTATTTACATATTAAAATGCCATAATAAAATTTTCATTTTTCACCGTTTCTTTTCCGATCACGGGAACCTCAATTCGCAACCGTAGTAGATTTACGAAAATGACATTTGAGAACCGAAATTTTATTTTTTTACGTCGGATAAATAAAACTATTTCATTTCATTCTGTTACTTCAGTTCATATAAGTACATATTGCATTCCAGTAGAATAAGGCCATTAATATGATTGTTTTTTTAAAGAATATTAACAATGCTTTAAAGCTTTAAAGCACAAAAAAGTGTGTGCGTGCTATTGCAAGCATATCGAGTACAGAAAGCTGTAAACCACAATTTAAAAAATTTAAGTTATTGACATTTCCCGCAATGTATATTTATGAAGTTGTAACATTTGTAAAACCTAATCCTGAAATATTTAATGATTATCTAATAACGAACAACCGACGTAAAAATAAAATTCATACAATTTCATCAAAGACAGCTTTACTTAGAAAAAGCGTTTTTGGTATATTGTCTAAAATATATAATAAGGTTTCATCTATGTTTCATGACATGGAAAATATTCATAAATTTAAAAAAAGAATTTAGAACATTTCTAATTGAGAAATGCTACTACTCAATAGATGAATATTTAAGTGACGCATCAGTAGGCATATTATAATGACATTCACAAAATATAATTCATTTGACTTTTGATTGGACAATATATTATTGTAAATATCCCATTTTAATTAATTATTACATTCGTTCTTGAATTTTCTCATATAATTATAATGTAAATAATAAAATGAAATAATATATAATAATTTAATTGTAACTGTACGTAATATTTGTACACCTAAGGGTCGAATGCAGCGAACATATTTATATAACATATACATATAAGATCTATTCTGTCTCATTACCTGTATTCACAAATAAATAAATTTGAATTTGAATGCTATAAACATTACTAATATTCGCCTTAACCACTCGTGGTAAGCTTAAATTGCATGTGTTAAGAGTGGTTCACGCCAGTAGTCGAATGGCGGATTCGAACCCACGACCTTTTTGAGTTAGCGGTCCGCGCCCTGCCATTAGGCTACTGTCGCTTATCGATTCCCGTATATAAATAAAAAGGTATCACATATCCATCAATTACAGCCCATGAATGTCCATTGACGGACGTAGGCCTCCCTCATAGATTGCCTTTTGGGGAGAATTTTGCCATAGTCGCCAAGCTTGGCAGGCAGGTTGGCAACCGCAGTCTTTTTATAATTTCGCCATAGTCGCCAAGCTTGGCAGGCTGGTTGGCAACCGCAGTCTTTTTATAATTTCGCCATAGTCGCCAAGCTTGGCAGGCTGGTTGGCAACCGCAGTCTTTTTATAATTTCGCCATAGTCGCCAAGCTTGGCAGGCAGGTTGGCAACCACAGTCTTTTTATAATTTCGCCATAGTAGCCAAGCTTGGCAGACAGGTTGGCAACCGCAGTCTTTTTATAATTTCGCCATAGTCGCCAAGCTTGGCAGGCAGGTTGACAACCGCAGTCTTTTTATAATTTCGCCATAGTCGCCAAGCTTGGCAGGCTGGTTGGCAACCGCAGTCTTTTTATAATTTCGCCATAGTCGCCAAGCTTGGCAGGCAGGTTGGCAACCGCAGTCTTTTTATAATTTCGCCATAGTCGCCAAGCTTGGCAGGCTGGTTGGCAACCGCAGTCTTTTTATAATTTCGCCATAGTCGCCAAGCTTGGCAGGCAGGTTGGCAACCGCAGTCTTTTTATAATTTCGCCATAGTAGCCAAGCTTGGCAGACAAGTTGGCAACCGCAGTCTTTTTATAATTTCGCCATAGTCGCCAAGCTTGGCAGGCAGGTTGGCAACCGCAGTCTTTTTATAATTTCGCCATAGTCGCCAAGCTTGGCAGGCAGGTTGGCAACCGCAGTCTTTTTATAATTTCGCCATAGTCGCCAAGCTTGGCAGGCAGGTTGGCAACCGCAGTCTTTTTATAATTTCGAGTTGTTATTAGGAAGATACTGCTATCCATCACCTGTTTCAATTTCCCTCAGTCGGATATTCTTACACCGCCACTACACAGCCAATCACGTATATAAATATATATAACATTGAATACAAGTTTCAAGCTTTAATGATTTAACCCTTTCCCTCCTTACGGTACTTAGAAGTACCTCCACATGTTTCGTCTAATAACTTAAGTACGAAATCACTTTATGCTAACTACAACTGACGATCCTTTAGAGTACCGTTTCCGTAAGCCAATCACACCGCGTTATTTGAATTACCGCGTGACGTTTCCGAAAAATTTTAACAGCGAGTTACAACCGGTCGGATATTTTATCACTCTCCTGTGCGGTGTAATTGAAAAAGTTTTATAAATAGAATATCATAGGTAAATGCTATTTTATTTTACTAATTACGTTGTTTATATCACGGACTACATTTGTAAAAGCTGTTATAACTTATTATCACTTTATTTTATATGAATATTTGATAAAAACTGATGTGGACTTAAAAGTACCGTCAGGCGATTTTAGTCTAAAAATTATAAGCTTTTATAATACACATACTCGATCAAGTGGGTATTTTGCTTTATCATAAATAAATGTTTTTTTTACTTTATAATTGTTATGAGCTATTTTTTTATTGTTTTAGCCATTGAGATGGATATTTTCAAAAAATACTGCTCTAATTGAAGCCCTGTTATTAGAAGAGATTCCGGACTGTGACGAAGAGTCTGAAGCAGGTGTGTTCGATGATGAAGTGGAAAATATTCAACAACCTTCACCAAGAGGCTTCGATGATGTTTTTGAAAGAGCTCTAGAAAATATTTTAGCAGAAGATCCGCCATCGTCGCCTTCAAAAGAAGATGAATTGGAGTGCCCTATAAATCAAGTACCAACATCTCCAATACCTGGATCTAGTGTTCAGATTGATCTACCGTCTGCAAATACGTCTTCACACAAAAGTAATCAGCGATTACCCGAACCAAACCGTAAATGGAAAAAGAGGGACCTAGATACAATTTTACAGGAATACGTTCTAGATACTGGAGTAGTAGAAGACTGTTTTGCTCACTGTAGCACCCCAACTGATATATTTTTAGTATTAATTGGAGATATTGTTGATAATATTGTGTACCAAAGTAACCTTTATGCTACTCAGAGAGGCAAAGTATTGAACCTAAAAAAAGGAAGAACTTCTAACATTTATAGGTATGAATTTTTTTATGGGTTACAATACTCGTCCGGCGTGGAGAGACCATTACTCTTCGGCACCTGATCTCAACAATGCACTTATTTGCAAAACAATGCCAAGAGACAGATTTGCTATTATTTTATCTCATCTGCATTGCAATGATAACTCACAAATGCCTAAAGATTGCAAAGATAAGTTATATAAAATTAGACCGATAATTGATGCACTCAATAAAAAATTTCAAGAGGTTTATCATGGTACTCGCGAACTGAGTGTAGATGAATCTATGATCAAATTTAAAGGTAGGTCTGTCTTGAAACAATATCTACCTATGAAGCCCATAAAAAGGGGATATAAGTTGTGGTGTCTTGCTGACCAGAGAGGCTATATAAAGAAGTTTCAAATTTACCAAGGAAAAGACGAAGAACTGAACTCAAAATTTACCGGCTATGGCTTAGGAGAGAAAGTTGTTTTGGAGTTGACGGAACAAGATTGGGGTACAGGAAAGATAGTTTACTTTGATAATTTTTTCTCGTCTGTTGCTTTGCTTGAGAAACTGAAAACACCTACGCATGTGGAACTATACGAAGTAATAGAAAAGGACTGCCCGGAAATATGCTCGCTGATTCTCAAATGAAAAGGGGCGACAGTGATCATCGATTCACATTGGATATTGAAAATGGAAGGATAACAAAGTGGATAAGTTCATTTAGTATCTAATTTTCATGGGAATGAAACGGCTACTGTGTCACGTAAAGAAAAAAATGGGTCCAAGTCTACCATTACATGCCCTGTAGCTGTCAAAGATTACAATAGCTATATGGGCGGCGTAGATACAGCTGATCGTTTGAGAGCCCTTTACTGTATAGATCGCAAATCTCCGAAATGGTGGCACAGGTTGTTTTGGGGTCTTCTGGACATCGCATTTGTCAATTCATATGTCATTCATGGACTTATAATGGAACAGACTACCGTAAAAGATTTTCGACGCTCTGTTACTCAAGGCTTGATGGCAATGAAAGATGTTAGTCAGAAAAGAAAGACTTCTACAACTAATACTTCGGAAGGTGGCCCTTCCAAAAGACGCAAATCTGACTACTCCACTATAAAAGACGTTCGCTTGGGAATAGAGGCATCCATTGGCCTTCGTTTGTAGAAAATAGGGGAAGGTGTGAGGTTTGTAGTATGAAAAAGATTCAGTCAAAACCTCATAGTAAATGTTCCCATTGCAACTTGTTTTTGTGTGTAAATGAAAAGAAAATTTGTTTTGCTGAATACCACGAGGTTAATTTGTAATTAAAAACCTATCTTTTTAATTATTACTAAGTCAATATTGGGTCTCATTATTTTTGTAGTTTCTGTCAAAGTTCCTAACATTGTAATGACACAAAGTTCCTGACGGTACTTTTAAGTCTAGGTCTTAGAAATAGTACTTCTAGGTACAATAAAAATCTGAAAATAATCTGAGCGTTTCATTTTACCTACCTTATTATGATAATGAATTAAAAGCGGAAATTCGTTTAAAATCACTACCCCGGGTGGAAAGGGTTAAGGTGCGTTGGGGCAATACCGGACGGATTTTCGACTAGTTAAAAGAGTCTGGCAAAAACTTTATTTTCTCGACATCCATATACGTCAGATTTCTGATACATGGCGCAAATCGTTAATGGTTAGACGTAATTTAGCTATAAGAAGCTTTTACTTTTCAAAACTCAACAGTTTCTGCTTAAAACGTGTGCGAAGACAAGGAATAATTTTTTATATGCATGATGAAGAATTGGCCATCAAGGGGAAGACCGGACTCCGACGAAAAAATTCAAAAATTACCTTGTTTTATAAAATACTGCGCAGCACACGCCCTACTTTTTCGGAGCGACTGGCTGAAACTTGGGGTCGGGGCAGAATAAAATGGAGTCTTGTACCATATTGCTAGCTTTCAAAAATATAGCATAATTCACCGGAAATTTGAATTTTACGGTCTTACCTCATCACCGATCTTACCCCAATGCACTATATTTATTTAAAGTAATAATAAGTACTTAGTTTTTATATACAACATGTAACAAAAACCCTGTGGTTCACGTTAAGTGCGATATCAGAATCAGCATCCAAGCGTATAAAAGAAGCGTATAGCTTTTTTCAAAAAAAAAAATATTTTAATGAAAAAAAATTGCAAATTGTATGTGGTTTTATTATCTCTGCATTGGCCCAGGAGTAAGAGGATTGTCAAAGACCCCCGCATTACCGATACTCGTGGGAGTTAGAGGAAATAAAACCATATACAATTTGCAAATTAAATTTTTTTCTTTAAAATAAAATTTTTAAATGTGTTTTATTGAAAAAAATTATTGCTATACGCTTGGATACTGATTCTGATAACGCAGTTAACGGGAACCACAGGGTTTTTGTTACATGTTGTACATGCCTTTTATACAAACATTTTTTTTTTGCTAGTAAAACATAATGTAATGTGGTAGTTTTAAGACACACAGATAAGCTAATAGGATATTTAAAGAACACAGGAAAGTTTATCAGGATATACCTTTATTATATTATTGTTCAAAACCAAGTAGTTATCATACTAAGGAGTCCTGATCTACAAAAATACTACAAAATATAAGCACAGCTTCTTTAACTGCAGACAAATCGATATACTGATAATCACTACGTATTTTGCTTTTTTTACTTACTTTAATATTCACTTTATTATATTCATTAAAAAGATTATTAAAGATATTTATTTATTTTTGAAAATACTCACTAAGTTCATCTCCAATCGGACATTTTTTAAGGTGCTCTGTTAATATAAGTTTCAATTCTGCCTTCTCAGCTGTCAGTCTTTTGTTGCTCTCTCTTAACTGCTTGTTTTCCTCGCTTTGGCGTCTCATGGTTTCTTTTAAACGTTCTCTAAAAAGAAAGGAATGTAATCTATAAAAATAAATAAAACTGTAGTGTCTTTTTGTATTGTCGAAATAACAGATTTTTACTAAATTCTTATGAAAGTATATACGGGATTTTCATTAGCACAAAACTGATGTTATAAGGAGTAACTGAGGCTACATTTATTTTAGAAAAAAAATTAGGTTTCCGCTCAAAAGAAAAAAATTAATACCCGTGAAATCCAATTGTAATACATTTGAAGCGCAAGCAAGGGAACAGCCAGTTATAAATAAAGATGACTGCAGATGTGTTCTCACTCATGAGGTTATGATTATTATTGTTCCTTCAAGTTCAAGATTTCATCTACCCTTCGAGCAGGAACACTACAGTGAATGCATCGCTGTTCGGCGGCAGCAATAGCTAAAAGAGACGTTATCCACCCAGACTGACTCTGAAGAAAAGCAGCCTAACCATCTAGTAAGGTAATAGGATTCTGTCTGCGAATTTTAATTCCTCAAACATGTTAGTTTTTCCACAACTATTATTTCCTTCTATATTGATTGTAATAAATTAGTACATATAATTGCAATTAACAACTTCTATGGTACTGGCAAGGATCGAAACGCGATTTCTATAATACTATGATATATTTAAAACAAGTACAAAGTATTAGAGACGGAGTATTTCCAAATATACTCTGGCTCTGTGATTTGAATATATGTAGACCACAAATCCTCGCTAAAGAACATCGATTTCTTCCAAGAATGATTCGCGGGGCTATTGAAATCAAAACATATTCCAATTTCCATAGAGAAGATGGCTTGGTGCTACCATCTGCTTGTAGGGATCCTATAATTAATGAAATTAAATCTCATCCCAATCATACAACTTTTTTAACTGCAGTAAAAAGACTTCAAGATACTATAAGTTCATAGTGCGTAGATCGAAACAAAATTAATAATTTTAATCTGGCGGTAGCCGTGATTAACTACGATATTTTTGTTGCGGTTGTTCATGGGCGTCGGTAGTCATTCGCTCCCCTCTTCTACCAAAATAAAAAAAAAAAACCTTTGGGACGTAGAGCACCCCAGGACCCCCCCCTTCCGTGACAATGGGTGCTGCAAACTGCTCGAAAATTATATTAAAATAAGTTAATATACACGATATAATCGGTAAAAATGGTTTTATTCACATGTGTAGTGATCGCGTAAATATAAGAAATCATTATACTGCCCCTTCTAAACTCTTAAAAAGTACACTGCTTGACATTGGTTTCTGCCGAAATAAAATGATTTGCCTGTAATCACTACACTCTACAGGTAAGTTGGCTAACGAAGTACAGGATGTCTTCCAGCTTTAACTCTGCATTCCGTTGAGGATTAGGTTATTTAAAAATCTGAAAAATATTTGTGCAAGGATTTTTTTATATTATAGGGGGCAAACGAGCATGTGGCTTATCTGATGGTGACTTTCGCTGCCTATAAACAACTGCCACACCAGGAGAATTGCAGGTGCGTTACCGGCCTTTTAGAAAGGAGTAAGCTCTTTTCTTCAAGGTCCCTAAGTCATATCGGTCCGTAAAAATCGTCGGTGGTAAACGATTCCACAAAGAGGTTGTGCGAGGAAGAAAACTTCTAGTATAACGCACAGTGGTGGACCGCCAAGCATCCAGATGTTTGAATGGTATCGTGAGTTTTATCCCGATGTGCGTTAGTGAAATTTGGCGTAATCTGAACAATTAGTCAGAGCACTCCCCATGGTAGATGCGATAGTAAATGCAAAAGGGATGTAACATCCCTTCGCGGCGCCAGTGAATCAAGCCGATCAGAAAGAATTCAGCCACTTTGTGCTGGATGAGATCAAATGGACGGAGCTGGCACTGGGGTGCCCCGGCCCAGAGATGAGATGTGAGGCCGAACTTACGCCTTGTTAAGTTGCAAGCGGTGTGTCGGCATGAAATATTGTACCGCTCTACTGAGCACGCCAAGGTTTTGAGAGACCAATTTAGCCTTCCCTTCAAAGTGACTACGAAACTGCACATCATTCGATATGTCGACGCCGAGGATTCCGATGCTAGTTGAGACAGCAAGGGGGGGTACTTTGAAATTGAAGAGATACGACAAAGGGATTCTTTTTAGCGGTAAACGCGCAACCCTTTGTCTTCTGTGGGTTCAACTGGACTAGATTTAGTCGTCTCCAACCCGAGACATTGTTTAAAAATGCCTCGACTTCAGACACAAGTTTGTTTCGGTACTCAATGACGTGATGCCGAGAAATAATGGCAATCATTGATATGCAGAAGGAATAGTGTGGACGATAGCTCACAGCCTTGTGGAACACCAGCATTGATAGGCTTGTAATCGGTCGTCGGTCGGTATCTACTACGACCTCGATGCTACGATCAGCGAGAAAACTGGTGATCCAATTGCAACAGCCGTAGCCTTAAATGGTGGATTTTAACAGTTTACAAATATCAAATCAATGAAAGAGTACCTGTATGACCGAGCTTTCCTCGGTTTTCTTTTTTTGGAAATTATATTTAGATATAAATTACATACTGATGAAACATGAATTATATTTTTTGATCTTATTGACATAATAGAAAAAACTGAACTGGTTATTTGAACAAAAAATCATGAGTGCAATTAGTTTAATTTAAATTTTCTTATTTAAAAAAAACTAAAAAAAGGGCTCGAAATAATAGATTTTCTCACAAAAGAAGGGAACTTGAAAAAAAGGCAAAAAAAAAAAGTCGGACCAGAGACAGGACGCGAACCAGGGCACTCTGATTTCGCGACCGCCCGATCCCACTTGAGCTATTACAATCATTAGTAAGCTGTCAAAATTTACCTTCTTATGTTGTAGCAGTTTTTCATTGCCTGAAAACACGGACAAAAGGACATTTTCTAAAAATGAATCCTGGCTAGATCGATTTATTGTCCCCTGAAACCCCCTGGACATTAAATTTTACGAAAATCGTTGGAGCCGTTTCCGAGATTCCGATTATATAATTTAGAAAGAACCAAAAATGACCCACATAACCTCCCGAAATTACAAGTGTTACCATATCAAACTAAAACTACAATACTATTACCATAATGAAAAACATAAGCCTTACTCATAGAAGGCATATTATGCTTATCTCTCTTTAAACTATAAGTAATACACCATATTATACTATTTTTTCATCTTAGAAACTTGTCTTGTGTCATCATCATCATTACAGCTCTTCACAAGTCCACTGCTGAATATAGGCCTCCCCCAAGGTATGCCAATAAGCACGGTCCTGTGCCACCTGCATCCATCGACTTCCTGCATGTCTTACCAGGTCGTCACTCCATCTAATGAGGTTTCGCCCTACACTTCACCTACCGGTACGAGGCTGCCACTCGAGAACCTTTTTTTCGCAACGGTTGTGGGTTCTTCGAGCTATATGGCCGGCCCGTTGCCACTTCAACTTACTAATCCGTTTGGGCTATGTCGGTCACTCTGGTTCTACTGCGGATATCTTCATTTCTAAGTTTATCACGCTGAGAAACCCGAAGCATAGCCCTCTCCATAGCTCGCTGAGTGACCTTGAGCGTCCTCATACGGCCAGCAGAGAAGGACCACGTCTAAGATCCGTAAGTCATCACTGGCAACACGCACTTGTTGTATAGTCTCGTTTTCAGGTATTGAGGTATAGCTGACGAGAAGATGTGTCGTAATTTCCCGAACGCTGACCAGCCGAGTTGAATCCGTTGATTGACCTCTCGGCCGAAGTTGGACTTACCTAGTCGGACTATTTGTCCCAGGTAAATATACTCGTCAACAACTTCGAGCTTAGTGTTCCCAACAGCTACCGGCATAGGTGTGACATGGACGTTACACGTGACCTTCGTTTTGTACATGTTCATCTTAAATCCTATCTATTGGGAGGCATTATTATTTATATTTATTACATATTATAGAGGAGGAGAGGCATAAGGACTATATCGTCGGCAAATCGAAAGTGAGTGATGTACTCGCTATTGATGTTGATACCGTATCCTTTCCAATCCAGTAGCTTGAAAACGTCTTCCAATGCAGCGGTGAAGTTTCGGGGATATAACGTCACTCTGTCTTACACCTCTCTGTAGTTGGATAGGTTTCGTACTCTGGTTCTGTACTCGGATAGCTATCGTAGCCCTACTGTACAAACACTTCATCACTTCGATATACCGACAGTCAACTTGGCACCGCTGAAGGGACTGTAGCACCGTCCAAATTTCAACGGAATCAGAGGCTTTCGAGATTCGAATCTTATGTCTTCTGTACAAGTTGTCTAAGGGTTGTTAAAAACCGGCTTGATTGGGAGTCTGAAAGTCGTCGAGTCTGCGTGCGAGACGATTCGTAATGACTCTCGAAAACAGCACGTAGACGCGGCTCAGAATTGATATCGGTCTGCGTTGTCACCTTTCTTGAAGAACAACACCACCTCACCTCTGCTCCACACTTCGGGAGTAGTGCCACCATGGAGGACTGAATTAAAGAGCTTCTGAATAACTTCTATTACCGGTTTCCCACCCACTTTCAGAAGCTTCGCTGTAATTCCATCCTCGCCTGAGGACTTGCCATTTTTAAGGTGCTGGAGAGCCATTCTAATCTCGATCAGACTGACGTTCGGGATATCATCGGAATAGTGTCGGATAAGGCTTAAGAGCTAAGGCTTCAGATAAGGCTCTTGGATCACTACTCACACTTCGCGTGGCTCCAACGATGATGCGAAAGCTGTCTATAGAACCTCTCAATCTCGCTCAAAATCTCAGGTGTACCGGTAACGATGTTACCACACTCGGTCTTCAGCTTCGACAGTTGACTCTTCTGGCAGACAGATCTCTGATAAAGACTTTGGAGCCCTCGTTACGCTCAATCGCTTCTTCAATACGAGCTGTATTGAAGTTGCATAAGTCCCGCCGCATGTATTTGGAGATCTGCCCGTTCAGTTGCCTGTATAATGTCAAATGACGAGGCTTCATTTCCCATCTAATAGCCATGAGATTAAGAGT